AAGAGGTTGACCTCCTTGCTTCTCTCATTGTACAATCCTCTTCCCGACGAGTCCCCCTTCTCCTCGGTCCACAAAGACAAAATGTAGGGCTGGTGCCAAGAGTTCATCACAGAAGAAAGGACTCAATGAGCTGGGATCACTAACAAACGCTAATCTAATAGAAATTAATAATATAATAGAAAAGAACTGTCTTTTTTGTATACTTTCCCCCGTTCTCTGGCTACAGTGGGCTTTACGCAATCGATCGGATCATATAGATATCCCTTCAACACAACACATGTCATCGAAAGGATCTCGGAGACCCACCAAAGCACGAAAGCCAGGATCTTTAAGAAAATGGATTCTTATTCGAAGAGTGCACCACCGCATGGATAAGCTCACACTAACCCGCCAATTTGGGATGATACAATTCAGGATTTTCCTTGGGAGGTATCGGAAAGGAATTGGAATGTAATAATATCGATTCATGCAGAAGAAAAAGGTTCTCTATTGATTCAAGCGATATACTTATGGGATAGGGATATAGAAAAAGGTTCTCTATTGATTCAGGCCATAGTGTGCCTTTCACCATCGCAGGCCACGCATCAAGAACAGCACCCTTGTGCGTGTGTGTGTGCGTAGGCACCATCGCAGCAGCAGCCTCGCACAGCAGCACCATGTTGGGCCTTGTGTGCGTGTGCGTGTGCTTATGCCTAGGGGCCATCGCAAGCCATCGCAGCATTACAACACCAAGCTTCACATGCTTGTGCGTGTGGCTGGCGAGGCGATGCCCTGCATGCGTGGCTCGCTAGCAGCACGCATGCTGGGAAGTGCGAAAGGGGCAGTGCGCGTGCGATGGCGAGAGAGGCAAGGGCCTACGCCAGCAGCTAGCAGTGCCTAGCACTGGCACGCACCAGCAGCACAAGCATCGCCCAGCGCCAGCACGCATATGCTGGCTGGGATGCGAGGCTGCTGGCTGGGCTAGCTGGCAGTGCTAGCTGGCGTGCTAGCTGAATGCCAGCCCAGCAGCCCTTGCTTGAGGCGGTTTTTTATTATGATTGATTTAATTATTTATTTCATTTAGAATTAAATAAATTGTTAAATTTACCAACTCTCCCATATTGATGGGAGATTGGAAATCAAGGGTGCCTTTCCCTATAAATACCAAAGGCATGGGTATTGGGAAAGACACAACCTTGAATGGAATTAAAAGGCAACTCTTGATTTGAGTAAACCTTGATTCGTAAAACTCATAGTTTTATTTGTCCGGGTCTCGACTAACCTTCGAGACTTAGGACGCTCGGGTCGGGTTCGAGGGTACGATCCCGTTGGAGACCTCGTATTTTCGGGGTTGAAGTACACTAGGCGAAAATACGAATTCCCCACCGGTTCAAACCCTCCATTTCGCACTGGTTTTGAACCGGATCGGATTTAGGGGATGCTAAAACCCCACAGATTTAGCACAGGTTCAAAACCGGTGCGAAATCAAACTTTTTGTACCGGTTTTCAGTGAGAACCAGTGCAAAAAACCATAATTTTAGCACCGGTTCTTGCTTTGAACCGGTGCAAAAAGTGGCAAAAAAAAATCAAAAAAAACTTTTGGCACCGGTTCTGTACCAAAACCGGTGCTAAAAATGACCCAAAAAAATTATTTTTTGTGCATTTTTTCCACTTAAATTGATATATAAACACTAACATATATATAAAGTTACATATTTTCATTAAAAAAGGTTGTAATATTACTATTTTCGTCCAAAAAAAATTAAATAATCCAGACTGCTCTGCTGCTGTTTCTGTTCTGCTGCGCTGCTGTGCCTCTGTCCTGTTCCGGCTGGCTGGGCATCTGTTTGATTTTGTGGCTGTGTTGCTTGCTGGTTTGGCTGCTATAGGTCAGGCTGCTGTGTTTGCTGGGTTCTGCTGCTGTTGCTGCGTGGTCCTCTGTGTTGCAGTACTGGTGAGCTGCTGTGGTGTTGTGTTGGTGGCGCTCTGATATGCCCCTGTTTGCAGGTTGTCTTGCTCGCTGTTACTCCTGTTTGGTACTGGATGCCTGGTTGTGTGCTTGCTGCTGCACTGTTTTTTGTCTATAGGAAGCTGCTTGCTTTTTTTTGTATTGTTCTTTTGATGTTGCTATCTTGTAGCTTTCCTTTTGTTGGTTGGTATCCCTTTAGGTGTTTGGAATGGTTTTGGTGTCATGACCCTTGTATTTAGTACCCTTCCTAGAAGGTGACTTTCTTACTTGAGGTCGGGTTTGTCTTTCCCCTCTCTGGTTTAGGAACCCCTCCTAGAAGGTAGTCTTTTTACAGATTAGGGGATGCTTGGGGAGGTTGGATGCCTTAGCTAAGCTGTAACCAGCATCTCAAAGCATGCTTATAGCTTGCTGAACACATTGGCAAGATGTCAGTGGAATAAGAGGGTGAAAAATAAACTGCACCTGCCTGAATTTTTTGTAATTATCCTTATGAAAGCAATATGCATTGACAAGAAGCTGTCACTGACAGCTTCATTACTGCAACTTCATGGTATCTCAAATTCTCAACATGTTTCAAGTTTACTAAGGATCATTACAATCAATTCTGCATAGAAGTGAAAACTGGATTTGTCAATTTTACAACTTCAAAGATAAAAGTGAAGTACCAGGACAAGGCCTATGATATTTATTGGATTTCCATAATATACTAGAACCCTGCTATGTCCTTTATCCAATATCATATTCATCAAATTCCTGTCATATTACAAAAGAAAATATAAGATTAAATTCCTTAGACCCCGACATATTCATTTCCATCAGATTCAAACTTTCAAAGAGATCTTGTGATAATAAAGTTTCACCTGTCGAGATTAGAATTAATATCGATGGCAAAAGTGTTTTCTATAGGAGTCATAGCATCTCTTGCTGTTTTTTCTATGAGTCCAAGTGCTCCACCTATGATAGTAGTCTCATCATGGGTAAGTTCTCCTTTTCCTGCCTGTTCACATGTATAGAATATAGATTATCAGCTTATGTCTCGTTGTCTTGTTTATCAGGTTTCTGTTCATTAAGGTGCAGCCTACCTCATTTCCATGCAAGTCGACTAGAGTTTTCCATTCAGCTCGCCGAAAAAATGCTTTGTGTCTCTTCCCTAACAAAAGGTCCAATAGCTGGTAAAGGAGAGAAAATGAGGAAAGGAAGTATGTAGATTCTGAAATATACCTGTTATTTGGAAGGGAAAAAAGAGAGAAATGGAGAGCATATTGAGTTTGTTCTATCACCTTGCTTATTGGATATGCAACAGGGAAACAAATCCAGACAAGAACTCGAACAAGAGGGGAAACCCAGCAACACAACAACTCACCAACAGCAGCACCAGCATCTCAAGCTGTGTGGAAAGAAGCTCATTGTATTCATTAGCCCAATATATTTCAGTAACCCTATGCAACATCATTCAACTTGCAAAAGAAACAGCTAATTGCGTAAGGATACAAGCATAAAAATGGGATACGTTAATGATATAAGATAGCAAAAACTTCATCAATAATAAAGTAGAGTGAAAACAAATAGAACAGGAGAGTGAAAAAAATGAGCATATTTCCTAAATGAATAACATATTTTCCCCGAGAATACAGAAGTTTCCCAGTCTGTCTCCTAGGGGTTTATTTCATCACTCAACCACCATATTAGCTTCAAAAGCACCTAATATTAAACTCACCCACCACTTATTAATATCTTCAACAGAAATATCAATTGCAAACCTCAAAAAACAGTTATTACACTTGATCACATAAGCATTATGCAGAAGTTCCAGTATAACAATGCAGAAATACCATCGAAATAAACAAGATCAAAACAATTACCTCTGCTAAACCAATTAGCAAGTAAATAAGTAATCACAAGATCATATATTCTATTATCTTAGAAATTTTAATAAAAAGGGTTATAAGCATTGAGCTATGCTAGGCAACTACACCCCATCCCCCTTTCCCCCCCCCCCTCTTCTAGTATCCTGGACAGGGGTAGTAGTTACTAAACATATATCTATATAAATGACTCTTGCTTAAATGTGGCCTATTATCAAGTGACAAAGGGAGTAAGTTAAATTCGAACGATTCATAATTGCTTCAACTTAAGATTAGTATGCAAATCAATTTACCTGCCAGGCTTGATTCAAAACACCCTGGAAGACATTCCCATGAAAAATGTTTATCACAATAGGTGCTAGCCAAAAATGGTTGAAGAAAGATACCATGCCTCTAGAAGATGTTGGAAAACCTTGAAACTTTATGATAGCATTTGCCCGCCCAAAATAACAGGCATTTGTTCCGGTCTCGATGATCACTGCAGCAACAGTGTCCTCATCATCATAATGTCCAAGTGCCAAAGTTCCCACAGTATCATTTACCTGCTTAAAAACATATTAAAAATTATACTCTTCTATCAGAGACTACATTGCATGGCAGTCCATCAACACTTAACAGATTGCACAGGCAAGGAAAGAAGAACAACAACTATCACCTATTTTGAGTAATGTGCTAGATAGTATATCAAGCATGTAAAGGTCTACCTTGGGATTTTAAATTTAAAACATCATCACTAAAGCATATGGTGTGAAAGTTGAAGAACTATATTCTAAACGATAAGTAGCTTTGACAATTAATGGCTGGCCACAAAGAACTCCAACCTACACCATAGAAAAATACATTAGCCATAAAAGATAAGCTTACCAAGGCTGCAATATGCATATCTAGGCCCTGTCTAGACATTGCTTGATTCAAGAATTCACAGACATCATTCCCAACCTTAGGAAAAACAAACAATTACAAATAGTAAGAAAAATCAGAGAAAAATTCATTAACCAAAAAAGTACAAAAAGGGAAAGATATCCTTTTGATACCTATGGTCCAAAGCCATCCACTAGTAATTGTTGTGCTTTAAGTTGGGCTTCAACATTAAAATCTAAACAAAGAAATTCTAGAACATTAGAAGCTAATAAAAATAATATTGAAAAATCTAAATTAACAAAACCCTAGAAAATACCAATAAATTTCAGAACTAATAACCCATAATAATTTGAAAACAACACCAATAACAATGAAATTGCCCCAATTTTGTCCTAAAACGGCAATCAAAATTGTAACCCTAGCAAGAAGAAAACGAAATTGAGGTAAGAAGTTAAATAAATTGAAGATAACAACGAACCTGGTGGCCAGCTGTTGGACGATGGTGGTGGAGCACAAGGACAGTGGTGCGTGCGACCGGAGCAGGCAAAACCAGCAATGGTCGACGGTGGGCACTTGAAAACACATCCGGTGGTGCTTGAGACAATTAGAGGCTGGTGTAGGGTTTCGTAGTGACCCGACACTATGCGGAAGGAAACCCCCCAAGACCCGCCCCTTAATTAAAGCAATTAACAAGCATAATAAACTTAATCAATCAAGACTAAGAACAAGAATTATACCTTTGTTGCGTACTTCGCTCCCGAAGAGCTCTTACTTCAAAATCCCGAAACTACGAGATCTCCGACGGATCGTACCCTCGAATCGACTCGAGCGTCCCAAGTCATGAAGGTTAGTCAAGACCCGGACAAAACAAAACTATGAGTTTTACGAATCAAAAGTTTTCTCAAATTACAAGAGTTGCCTTTTTAATTCCACTCAAGGTTGTGTGTTTCCCAATACCATGCCTTTGGTATTTATAGGGAAATGCACCCTTGAACTTCATTCCCCAACCAATGTGGGAGAACGAAGAATTTGATAAATAATTTATTTCCAAAATAAATTAATAATTAAATTCAATCACAATGCAACAAGTGTCAAGAAGAGAGAGAAGGTTAGGTGAGGACCATTGCGAGGTGGGGGGGACCATTGCCTTTCTCCCCAAGGCTTTGCCCAAGCCTTGGTCCCAACCCCTTACAAAACCGCCTTAAGGATAGGCTGCTTGGCTGCTGCCAGCGAGCAGGCCAGCTAGCAACGCCAGCTAGCCCAACTAGCCAGCACCAGCCCACCCAGCAGCCTTCGCATCCCAGCCAGGCAGTGCATGCTTAGTGCTGGTGCGTGCCAGTGCTAGGCGTTGGTGCGTGCTGGCGCTGGTGCGTGCCAGTGCTAGGCGCTGGTGCGTGCCCTCGCCTCTCTCGCGCGTGCTGCTAGCGAGCCACGCATGCTGGCCTCTTGCCTCGCCAGTCACATGCACCACCCTTGCATCCCTCGCTGCACCTCTCGCACAGACACATGCCTCGGACACCTTGCTAGCCCAGCCAGCGAGCCTACGCACGCAAGGGCCTAGCATGCGTGCTGGGAGATGCTGCTAGGATTCCTCGCACTAGCACACGCCAATGCCTAGCACTTCTATGGCTGTGCTTAGTGCGAGCCACGCACACGCACATGCACATGCGCCAGTGCCTAGCACTACGATAGCTGTGCTTGGTGCATGTGTGGCCCTGCCATGCGCACCTAGGCGTCAAGGCAAGCATGTTGTTGTGTTGCGATGGTGCGCCTAGGCTGCGACGCTCAGCGATGGTGTGCTTAGGCTACGATGGTCAGCGATGGTGTGCCTAGGCTGCGATGGTGTGCCTAGGTTGCGATGGTGCGCCTAGCACACCTAGTGTGCTTAGGCTTGCGCCTAGCCATGCTAGGTGCATGCTAGCTCGAACTAGCCTAGCATCCACATGGTTAGATCATTATGGTGCTACGGCTACGCTCGTACTTGTCGCTTGTGATTTTGCGACGCTCGGACTCGACGCCCTAGGCTCGATATCCGACGTCTGTATTCGTAATACTCATTAAATCCTTTCAGATTAATTCGTCGTCTCAGATCGGTGATTCGATTGGGTTCGACCCGAAGGGTTCAGTTAAGATTAAGCTGTAATATCAATTGTACCTCGATATTACTAATCGGAAGCGGCCTCCACCTAGGCATTCCGATCACTTGATCTTACTGAAGAATTAACTCTGTAATAATTATGAACCCTCTATCGAAAGAATACACTTGTTGGAAGGACACCATTCCTTTCAATCTCCCATTTGTACTTCCGGACAAGTGTGCATACAGTGTATATCCCATTTCCTATTTCTCTTAATGTTTCTTCGTGAACTATAAGGTAATATTCATCGTCATCCTTATTACGTTCAGAAGTGTTTCTTGATCTCCGAGTTCGACTGTCAATAAGCAGATGATTTCTTAAATCCATATGAGCACGGCCATGCATTTTCACAGTCTCGCTCTTCGAGCGGCCTTGTAAAAAACAAAACAACCCTTGAAAGGCTCAATGGGCTCCAATCGGATGCTGACACGTGGCATTATAACCCTAATGGTGGAGCAGATCTTCATCTGATATGAGGAAACTCCTCATTTATTGCACATTCAGAAATCATCATAAATACAAACACAAAAACCGAGCAATACTAATTGCAGAATCTCTCTGAATCAGAGAGAAAACCCATTTACTTTTTGCACCTTTATACATCCGGAGACGTACTAACTTGATCGTCGGAGGCGGAACTCCACCCAACCGGAGTTTCGTGGTTTTGCAGGTACAGACGGTCGGCACGCATTCCAAGAATTATAACTCTCCTGAGGGACTCCAAAAACCCCGAAACATTTGGCGCTGTCTGTGGGGATAGTACTTCTGAGATGGCATCCGATAATGTACCACCTTATGAGGGCAGATGGCCTACGACCGAGCTGGAGGTCCATACAGACTAGGATAGTGGTGACGACTATGAGGTCGACACCTATGTGGCCCTAGACGGGTCATTTCGAACAAGGCGCACCCGTTTTAAGAAACAAGGGAACGGGGCGAAGATAAAGCTGGTCCCAGCAACCCAGCCGGCAAGCCTACTCCTCACCCTAAACCAAAGGGGACGGATGGGCCCCTGATCGACCTCTACAAACTTCGTTTCCCTGAATCAGGGCAAAGAAAGGCCATCCGGCAAGTTCAGCCAGAAGTTCATCTAGGAGAAGAGAAGTCAACAAATGTCTGAGTCGGCCTCAACGTCGACTTTCCCAGACACTTTTCGTAATACTTCAGTGAAGTATCCGGAGACAAACCGAGAGAGTCAGTCACACGGCATGTCCGCGCTTACTGGCTTCAACAGCCATACATACCGTATGGATCACCATACATGCAGCCGGCCCTCTTCGGGAGTCCGGTGGCACAGTATGTCCAGCCTATGGACTGGCAGCTCTGGCTGCTAAACCTTGGGGAAGAGCCGTCGGTGTTCTCCATGAAGATAACCGGGGCGGCTCAGCCGGCCAAGGTTAAGAATGTGTTGGTCGGTACCTACGATGGTACCACCAACTTGGAAGACCACCTAATGGCTTACACCAACCTCATGTACCTACATGGGATGGAAGACGCCGCCTGGTGCCGATGATTCCCGACAACATTGAAGGGCATAGCCCAACGATGGTTTGGCAATCTGCCAGCCGGGTGCATCAACAATTTTTAGACGCTTGCATACCTATTTGCGTCCAACTTCTCCATGAACATCCTTGCCAAAAAGACAAGTCTCGACCTAGGGGCTATTCAGCAGAAGGTTCAATCTGATGAGAATTCAAATTCAGGGGCTGTCTGACGATGTTGCATACACAAACTTCTTTAAGGGTCTGAAGGACGGGTCGACCTTTAAGTTCGACCTGGTCCGCAAAGGATTGCTACCCTCCAAGAGGCGCTGATGGAAGCTGAAGCCTATATACAGGCGACGGAGCTCTGTGCCATCAAGCACCCGTCGTAACCCAGGAGGTCCAACAGGAAAGAAATCCGGCCTGCTCAGCCGGCCAAAAAAGAAGAGAGCAAGAAAAGAAAAGAAGTCAGGGCGGCGGATCGCTCTAGTCAACCGTCCTAGAAGAAATAGAGAAAGTTGGAACCGTACGTCCCCAAGTACGAGTTCAACAAAAAGGACTGCTCTTCCATCCTCATGGAGATCAAAGACCGGTAAACAATTGAAAAACCGACACCAATGAAGAGTTCCATCAAAAATCGGGACAAAAGCGAGTACTATCAGTTCCATGAGGATGTCGGCCATGACACCAATGGTTGCTATAGCCTCAGACGGCTATTGGACCGTTTGGCTGATGAGGGGGCTTTGAAGTCCTACATGGTGAAGTCTAAGGGTACTCCCAAAACTAACAGTGGACAACCGTCGAAGAAGCCGGCTTTAAGATCTGACACTGATGAAGAGCACATCTTCACCATAGCAGGTGGCTTCGCGAGCGGTGGTCCTACCATCCGGGGTACCAAGGATAACATCT